CTCTCTCTCTCTCTCTCTCTCTCTCTCTCTCTCTCTCTCTCTCTCTCTCTCTCTCTCTCTCTTTGTTCTTCCAGTCACTTCATTTAGCCTGGATAATTGAATTCCAATCGCCGATCGGAACCAAACCAAGAAATCCGGTTACTCTGGTGTATTAAGTAGTCGGATGATATGAGCTAATTAGCGCTGCGTCCACCGGTTCCATGCAGGACGGACAGGTCAACGAGCGTAGCAACCAGTCGTCGATGCAGATCGCGTGGTACGTGTGCATACAGGGCAGATAGCGTACTTCCTCGCCCGCCAACAACTCCATCATACATATCACGCACTCTCCCTTCATCGTGCCGTCATACTCCCGCATCGGCAGGTGTTGGATAAGTCCTATGCGTTTTGCGATCCTCACTTGTTGCTCCTCGTCGCTGAGACCGGCTGATCCAACGCCTTGCATCAGATTGACGCCAATGCCACGGCTGATGTTCAAGTTAGTGGATTGCAGATGACGAGATTCCCTCGTTGCAATCGACGGATAATAAGACGCTTGCTGTAGAATATTAAAACAATGTTAGAATAGAACAGAATATTTTATATATATAGTTTGCACTTAAATTTTATGTTCTAACATTATTGATGAATCTTTGAAACTTGCATAAATATAGCAACTATGTATTTGTATAAATTTCAAAAATCTTTATAGGTAGATTCAAAGCAAACAAGATTCCATGAATATTATTAGAAGAAATATTAAAAGAATATTTCACACACAAAAAATATTAAAAGAATATATATTAAAAATTAGTGGTTCATTCTTATGTTTTGAACATTACTGATCCTTGTAACTTGTTTAATACAGAAACCACACATTTGGATAAATTCCAAGAATCTCTATAGATAAACTTTATGCAGGTAAGACTTGGTGAATATTATTAGAAGGAATATTAAAAGAATATTAAAAGTTGATGCTTCGTTCTTAAGTTTTGAACATTGCAGATGGATCTTTGAAACCTGTACAAAGACCATACTTAAGGTCTGTTCTGTTTAGTTGAACTAGGTGATAGATTTTTCCTTAAACTGGAACAAGTATATAATAGTCTTCAAGAGATAAAAGAGGAACAAAGTTCCAGTGCAGTGCTAGTTCAGCTAAAACAAGCAAGCCTGTTAATTCCAAGTATTTGCTTAAATTCCAAACATTTGCAGAAGTTTAAAAAAACTCTACAAGTGGGTTTTATGTACAGACAAAGCTCCATGAATATCAACAAGCGAATCTGTTTGCACAGCTAACAATATGAAATCATCGACATAAAAAGCAATCACTGGAAGGACATTACATTAGTCGACAAAATAATTAGCAGACACCGACCGCAAGAGCTCGAGCGCGACACGAAAGTCTCGCGTTTCGAAGCGCCGCGCTTTCTCTGCAATTTGAAACAAAGGCAACGCGTAGCATACGGAAATTGGACGGACGAGGAGGGGGG